TGTTAATTGATGGTTATCATTTTCCAGGTAGATGCAAATAAAAACTACAATAATCTAATTTCTCTATGAGACTTTTTTTTACTCTGTATCATTTAAATTTATCATGTTGTGTATCAAGAGTGTGTTGCAATAAATATAATATGTATTTCATTACCTGAGAGTTACCTTTCTGTATAACTAGCGTGATATTATTTGCATCTATTCACGTGACAAATTTATAATGTTGAATTAATAAATGAATATCAAATAATCACAGAGCATGATGATGACCATCACTCTAATCATGATAAGTAATGAAATCGTAACAATAAGCTAGTTGAATATTGGATATACTGATATTACCTGAATGTTATCAGTTCTCAATATGATGACAATAGTTTCTTACCTGTGAATATCTGAATATTTATATTATCTATAGGGTTTTTATTTTATCTTCCAGTGATTGAATTACATGATATGATGAAAGAAATTGAATCTTCATGATGAAATCAACAAATTCCAAGTTGAATAGCAACTTTCGATTAGAATTGATTAGCTGATTCTGACGATCTATGAACTTTTCATATGAATAGAACTTTTTTTCCTCTGAATTTTCATGATGGTTTTGTTTTCTTTTTTTTTCGCCATTTTGACAAATTGTATTTTTGAGAAGTTTTTTTCTGTACTTTTGCTGAATTTTTGATGTTCTCTTCCTTTTTATCATCATAATCATCATCATAGTCTTTTCTTTGCTTGTTACCTTCAATTTGTAAATATTATAACGTCTTCGGGGCTTCGGGAAAATGAACAAGCAGGAAAAGAGATGGACAGATAATTACAGGTAGGATTGCACGAAATTGAAGCAGAAGATGATGATGATGATGATGAAGATGAAGATGAAGATGAGAGCACACACACAAATATAAGAAAAAATAAAAATAAGAATAAGAGTAAGAGGAGGATAAGAGATATGAAGAAGAGGAAAAAAATATATAAGAAGATAAAAGTTGCAAGAAAATGGAAGATATTATGTATTAAAAAAGAAAGAGGAAAAGAAAGAGCATGATGATAAGATAAATTTTCTTCCTTTCTTGGAGTGTCTTTTTTTGGACTCATTTCCTGTTTCTACATCTTCTTATATCATTTATATTTCCGGTGATAGCGCTCATATCCTTGTAATCCACGGTTTCAGATGGATGATGATGAGAGAGACTGGAGCATAAAATTATTACAGGTAAGACAAAGAGAGAGAGAGAGAGAGAGACAAAAATATCTAAGGTGAAAGGTGATTGTCCTTGACTATATGTTTCATCATGTTGATGATGATAAAGATGAGAATGTTAAAGTGATGGAGAGGTGACAACATCATCTTTCATCCTTTGGGTCAAAACAAAGCGATGTCCAGACAAAAAGATGAATGAAAAGACTTGAGGTCAATTTACCTTGAATGAATAATTGTTGGTTCGATTTCATCTTGGGTGATCATCATCTTAATTTTCTTCATCATCATCAGTTTGGGGAAAACTTTTCCACTTTACCTTTAAGCTTTTTTTGTGAAAACTTTCACTTGCCTTTCGGAGGTCAAAGGTAACCAAAGAGGTAGAAAAGTTTTTTACAATAAACAAATCGATTAACTTGTTGATGAGACAAAAAGGTGTGGCTGTTGACTTCGGAAACCCCATTGAGAGGTGAGTATGTATATCTATCGTTAACATGGATTGAGTTGAGAGAGAGAGAGAGAGAGAGTGAATGAGTGAGTAAGTGAGAGAGAAAAAGGTTAATGAGGATCTTGCGAGATTAAGAGATGGTGAGAAAGATTAAAAGAAAAGGTAAGAAGTGAAAGTGATTAAGAAATGATGATGATAATGATGAGAGAAGAGGAGATGGAAGAAAAAAAGTACTAATGACCATTAGAGGGAATCAACTGGACAATGAAAAGGTGACAATCAACATAAAGAATCATTTGTGCTCCCTGAAAATTTGATAATCCAACAAGTGGGTGATTAGATTAACATGAGATACGATGATTACTAATCAATCCTTTTGCTTGTTAATCGTTGATTGACTCGATCACAATTACAACCTACACTTACTTGTTTTCACTTTCACAACTAATTTCCTCTTTTTATCATCATAATCATTTGTTAGCAATCAAATTGTAAGAGATGATGAAAAACTTTTTATTCTCTTCTCTTTTTCACCTTCTCTCTCATTCTCTCTACTTTCTGAATCAATTTGGAAAATAACAAAAAGATGATGATGAAGGTAACAAAAAGAATAAGTTAACTACTATTGGGAAAGAAAAATTTCCCTGAAAGAGAGAGAGGAAGAGAGAGAGAGAGAGAGATGATGATGATGATGATGATGATGAAGAAACCAACAGGTAAGAATGTGAAAAGATACAGTTTGTTGGAAGAAGAAGAAGATAAAAACCTTGTTGAGAAATTATTTTCTTCTTTTGCTAGAAAAGAATCAGCAAGATAATAAGACGATGATAATGATGATTATGATGAAGATCCAAGTACAATTTACGTTTCCGCCAAGAAAATGAATGAGATTGTGTGTGAGAGAGAGAGGATGAAGATGATAAAGAGAGTGGAAGACAAGAAGACCACCAAAGTGTAATTGAAAAGAAACCAAAGGTTTCTCATCAAAATTTTACCGACTAAAAGATGAGCATCAATATGATGATGAGGATGAAGATGATCAAAGGTGAAAGTCAATGGTAACGATGTAGGATGATGAGAAATGAAGGAAGAACATGTGAACATGAATGATAATGACGATGAATGATGATGGAAAGGTAATATTATTTTTCGTCGAATTTTTTTTTCTCTTCATATAACTAAACCTTCATTCTAAATTGTTGAGAAAAAGCTTCAAGTTAACTACTAGTTTCTGAGAGATGTTTCCATCTACCTGTTGTACTGTCCCGATTATCGATGAGTTCGAGAAAAATATAAACAGTTCAGTCGATCAAGCGATTCAGGTGATCTCTCCGTTCTTGGTCATTGTCGATGTCCACTTGCGATTCCGTGTTGATGGTGGACTGATTATCGCCAAAAGATTTCGAGATCATTTGAGATGCTAAATGTTTATCTTTTTTCATCTCATTTCTATTATCTAAGTGATGAGGATAAAATGAGTATCATCATCATCATCATCATCTTTTATCTTCATCTTCATGGGTTCAGGTTGGTAAAGCATAACAACAATTGACAAGAATAAACAAAATGATGAATAAAAGTTATCATTTGATTGTGGTAATAAAAAAAAAGCAGAACAACAATTTACTCATTTTGTTACCTTTGCTTTTCATTCATTTATTATTATTATCTAACTACAATCAACAACAACAATCAAGTAAACATGATTACGGACAAAAAAAGTCACTTCTATTGATAATATAGTTAAGGTGGATATTGTTATTATCATTTATTTTCATCATCATCATCATCTCACATTGAATTACAGGGTTACCTGGATAATAATAATAGTTAATTATGATTTACAGGTAAATTGTATGACAAGGAAAACCTCATTGATAATAATATATATATGAAAAAATAACCTACACTTTGTGTGTTACCTGTTGATACATTAATTGATTGGACAAATTAATCGTTGATTGTTGTAGACAAATTGATTTAACTAATAATCTCAGTCATGATTAAAGTGCCATCATAATTGTTATAAATATCAATACTTAATCATTAGTATATTAGGATTGTGTAGGATTAGTTTACCTGGTAAATTGTTTGAAGATTAATTTTCAAGATTAGGTAATTGAATTGATTAACTTGATTAAAGAGGATCAATTAGCCTAATGATTAGTTTAATTGTTATGATTATTGTTGTTGTTTTTTTTTGTTATGAAAGGTGAAATGATTTGCTTTCATTTATGTTACAATGATTAAGTTAAGTTAATTGTTGTTCAGATTATGTTGATTCATTTAATGATCAATGAAAGCGCAACAAGATTATTAATAATTAAACAATCGTAATGATAATTTGATGATGATATTAAATAGTAATAAAAATCTAAATCAATTACAATTTAAATCTTTAATCTTAATAGTTTAACTAACAATCGTTTTAAAGTAAAAGTTGATTATCTTTTTGTTTAGAGCTTATATTTTATATGGAGATCAAAATAAAAGGGTAAACATGAAAATCGGTTCATTGACGATCGTAAATCGTAATAGTAATTACGTTAAGTAAAAAGTAACGAAAAGAGAATAAAAAAAAAGTGATCTGATTCTTTGGTTCTAAAGGGGAGGGCGAAAGAAGTAAAATCGTCAATGGTCAATCTGTGAATACGATAAAAAGTTTACACATAATTTTCGGTTACCAACGTAGCCTTAAAAAGAATGACCATCAATACGATGATTAACTAATCAAAGTTAATTATTATGGCGAATACAATTGACTGGTAATAAATACAATCAACTATTATAATCAGTAGCTGCGTGTGTGGGTAATCATTTAAGACAAGATAATATTTTTCCCGCTAACGAAAAACGTAACGTAGGTTCGTTGGCTATTGGTACGTTGATGGGTCAACGTTATCATCTTTCACTGATAATGATGATGATAATGGTTCTCTCTCTCTCTCTCTCTCGCTTTTATCTTTGTTTTGATAATATTTAACTTACCTGAAGTGTTTCCTGTAAAAGGTAACAACAGGTAAAGTGAGTAAACTTTTTTTTGCGAAAAAAAAAATAATATATAAGAAAAATGATGATGTTGATGATGATGACGGGTTAATATGTTGACCTGGAAATGGCCTGAAAGAGATTGAAGAAGCGAAGGCGAGATGAGAGAAAAGGAAGACAAATATGATGATAAAAAGGAAGAATCTATAAAAGATGATGATGATGATGATGATGGAAGATGATAGTGGTTACGGTTCGTTGGATGTTCATCATTTGACGCCAAATTCTTTTATCATTCTCATCATCTTTTCTCTTCTTCATCCGATTGGACATCGTCAATCTAAATCAATTACCTTTTCATTCATCTTTCTCATCTTCCTTTTCTTTTTTTCCTCCTTCATCATCATCTTTTTCTCTCTCACAAAAGTTTTCTTCTTCTTCTTTCCTTGCGATCGTAATTATCTTGACCATTTGATGAGCGAGGTTACTCTTCATCTCTTACAACCACTACTATTATTTTTACCTACGATTCATCAAAGAGAGAGAGAGAGAGAGAGAGAGAGAGAGAGAAATAAAATTCCATCAGAAACTCTTGAAGGTGAAAAAAGTTCTGAATGAAAAAAGGCCAAAGCGAAAACTTTAATATCTTTACTACTGATTAATCAGTTGGACTTTTCGTTTCCAAGGATTTTCACATTTCTCTTGAAAACTTAATCACAATTAATTTTGATTCATTATTAATATCAAACTAATTGAAATAAAATAATAATGATCCAGGTAAATAACAAGAACCAGTTCCAACACAATAATCACCATTATCTTCATGATTGTTGTTGTTGATTCAGTTTTTTTTTCACCCAAACAACTTACCATTTATCCCATGATAATATCATCATGATGTTTAACTTGTTGTTGTTGTTGTTGATGATGATGATGATGATGATTATCATCATTATATTACCTTTGATTGTTATGGATTTTTTTTCCTAGTAAATTATAGTGATCAGGAAAAGTCCCTCTAATTTAACGTTGTCGCAATTTGGAAACTAATTGTAATCATCATTGAAAATTAACTTAATTTCCATCCATCATTTTGTCAGTAGTTGATTGTGATTACTTGGTAATGTAACAATTTAATAATATTCACTAACTATTAATATTAATCCACTTAAATTATTATTATCATCATTAAGTTGACATTGACAATATTGATTTAAATTGAAATCTATTAATTGTAATTGTCTAGACTTTTACAGTTAACATTGTAACTGTTGATTAATTGTTGATTAAGTTATTAAACATTGTTTAGGTTTGTTGATTTCTCACTCTCTCCCTGATCATTATCATTCAACTGATTAATTTGATTGTTAATTAACTTTAATTGACTTAATTAGCTGTATATTTACCTGTGATGATTATTATCATCATGTTATCATTGGTATCTAATTGTAATTGTTTTAGTTAATTTCTGCTTTTGTTTTGTTGTTGTTGTTGTCATTTAATTTGACAATAATTGGCTTAACAAATTATGATCATCAACTAATTATCAATTAAGTGTCAATGATAATGATGATTAGTGCTATTATATTATTATGCTTCTGGTTATGGTGATAATGATTATGTTAAATTTAATCAAGTTAACTATTATTATCTTGTTTAGTTAAACTTGAAACTTGATTACTTTCACTCACATTTAATTGTATCACCAGCAATTATTGTTGTAAATCAATTTAACCACATAATCAGTTAATCAAGATAATACTATACCTTTAACCTTAAATATATATTTGTAACAATTAGGATTCTCAACGAAAAAAAAAATAAACATGATTAAAGTTAATTACTTTGCCAGGTTAATCATTTAATCAACCAAACAAAAGATGAATGAAAAGTTTCAATACTATTAGTTGAAAGTAACACAACAATTAAAGGTTAATTGTTATTAGGAAAAGAAAAGTTTCCAAATTTTGTGACAATCAATCAATCAGAGATATTGATTAATAAGATAATTTAACTTTTTCTTTATAAATAATCAAAGGAAAAAGTGATTCTAATTAAAAGGGATAAGTTAAACTATCCGACAATTAAGATTGTTATAAATTGTTACGATGGTTTAAATGGTTTACCAATCAAAGTGTCCAATTGATTATGAATATATACTAATCCAGTTGAGAGAAACAGCAAATTGATAGACAATTAACTGATTGTAAGGTCAATATTGACCTAATAAAGCACAAGGTTGAATGGTCAGTTTACTGTTGTAAATCATCAGGTTGTTGGTCAAGTGAAAGAAACTTTTTTTTGTTCATTCTAAATGAGAGTTAAATCAACTATTATTAAATTATAATCAGTTGATTTGTTTTCGTTTTCAATTGAATATTCAGAATCTATATAATGTTAATTGCGAGAAAAAAAATTGGTATAAGAGGAAAACTATTGTTATCGGTTCTCAGAGTAAATTCATTTTTATGTGTTGGTGTTTTTCTTATAGTGATTAGTTAATTGTTGGCCGATGATCAGGGTGGAAATACGTTAATATACTTTTACCATTGGATTGGTTGATTGATTTTTACGATCACCACTTTCTCTTCATCATCATCATCCCAATTCAATCATCTCTCTCATCTATCGGAAGCAATTGTAAGCGAAAATCGATGTCATTCTTTGATTCCAATTCTATTTTTTTTTTCTTCTTATATTCTGTCTAAATTATTTTCGATAATTTATTCGCCATTTTGTTTTCTTTTTCCTTTCTTTCTCTTTCTCCACTTTGATTCTTTTCTCCTTGATTGTTGCCACTCCACCTTCTTCTCCTCCTATTCTTTTATTTTCCTTATATTCGATAATCGCTTTTCCTTCAATCCGTTTGGCTTTTCTTTTCTCCTTTTTTTTTGTGTTATTATTTTGGTGAGAAAATGAGATAGAAATTAAATTTCATTTCGATTTGATTGTGTAGATATTTGGGAGTTTGATTGTTTGAATTGAGAAAAAAAAACTTTCTTCCAATCACAATAGCCAATGGACAGAATCGAGATGTCATTGAGGGAAGAAAACAAAAAGAAATTCCAAAAATCGATCCAATCAGTTTTCTTGACTATATGATTTTAGTCTCTATCACGATGATTAGTTAATTGAGATGATAATAAGATTGTAGAAATATAAGATAAGGGTAAATCAACAGTTCGCAATCAAGGTAAACACAATTAGATAAACTCCATCATGGACAATTCGTTGATCTCGACAATTTGGTTTATGGGTCAACTTTTTCCTTGGAATATTTTTCTTGACCATTGCAATTGGAATCCACTTGAGATGATGATAATAATCGTAGAAATTAAGATGATGATGATGGTTGATGATCTCCTTTTTGTCTTGGCTTCCACAACTATAATTAGAAATAATTTAAGTTACACTTCATTTTCTGTGTAATGAAGTTGATGGCTAGTTTAATATGAATAACATAATATATTTGACAAAAGTTGATTAAATTAGCAAATGACACTGAAGATTTAATCTTCAGGAAGAGGAAGAAGAAGAAGAAGATGATAATTATGAAGAGTAAACATCATCTTCTTTGTTTTAACATGGGTACTTTGTGTCTTTTTCTTAATTGTTTTGCCATCACCACCATCGATTCCTTTTCTTTTTACAACTGTGGGTTCTTTTAAAAACACTCAATAGAATTTGGTTCACCTCTTTTCTAATGTCTTGGATTCTCAGTGTTTCCAGAAAATCGGAAAACAAACAAACGAAAAAATTAAGGTGTAAAAGAAAAGAACGGTACTCGAATTGCAAATGATTTCTTGATTTTGATTTCCAGATTAATATGGATCGAAAAAAAGTTTTGCGCTTGATAAAACACTTGATATAATTATAGTAGCATACACAACAACAGAGGATCGTTTCCTTTTCCAGGTAGAAAAAGTGACCTCCTTAGAAAAGGATATCATCATCATGTTCGTCTTCTATTAGGTTTCCGGCTTCGTAGACTAAACCTGCGGCCTTAAGAGCTTCCAGTTCTTTCTCACGGGCATCTTTGATCTTTTTCTTTTTCTCTTGGATCTTTTTTAGACGATAAAACTCTTCTCTCTCCATTTCATCCAATTCTGATGTCACATAAGCAAGAGTTCGCTCGATTCTGGGAATAACAACGTGTTCTAAAGCATTGACACGACGATTTGTGATCTAAGGTGAAAGGAGAAAAATTTGAGAGAATAAGAATGAGATTAATTGGATGATTATTGATAAATTCGGAAAATTTTGGACAAACCTTGATGACTTCGTCTAAAGTGATGAAACTTGTCTGTAATGAGGCCAATTCGACTAGAAGTTCAATTGCACGAGCGTAGTTCTTTTTTAATTTAGCTAATTGTTGACCACCTCTGGAAAGACCAGCAAGCTCATAACTATCGCTTCCATCTTGATAACATTCAAAAGATGGTAGATTAACACCAGCGACATTATCTTTCCTTGAACGAACCTAGAAAATATAAAAGAAAGAGAAATTAATTAACAGAAAATAAGGTGAATCTGATTTGAGGCAAATTCAATGAAATAGAGAAAGAAAATTTAAACCAAATGATCAACAATCGTCGAAGCTTTTTGTTTGGAACTGAGAATTGATTAGTGAGAAAAATCGAGCTGATGGTAAAAAGAAACTCGATAATTACTATTATAATCGTCTAATCAGTAATCTGATAAAGAAATGAGATAACCCATGAAAATATTCAACTAATGAGTCAATCAAAGTTGAAGATTTCGGTTCTAAATGAAATTTTCCCAATTAAAGATGGCGAAAATATGAAATGCGAAACATTGAACATGTAAGAAAGGAAAGTAACGAATCGACCTTAGCCAATAGATCATCTGATTGATGAAAAATCGTTCAATAGTATAACCTTTTTGTCGAGAGTAAATAATTGATTGTGATCAAGACCATAGATTGAGGACTCAGGGTAGATAATAACATGGATGAAACTCCCCTCCGGTTAATTCAATACCAACCTTTGTCTGAGCTTTGGTAACATTTTGTAAGACAACTGCATTGATATCGTTACCAACAGCAAATTTAGCTTCTGCTAAGCTGAATTGGGCATCTTTCATAATATCACCCATCTTTTGTTTTGTCTGTGAAAAGATTGAAATAAGCAATCAATTAGAAAAAAAATAGAATAGAATAAAATTCAAAAGAGAAAAATATAATTACATCTATGATCCTTTTCAATATTTGCCTGAATCTCAATTGAAGTGCATCAGCTTTTTTTTTCAACAGATTGTGACCAGTTTGTGCTGCTTTCAGTCGACCCTTCAAAAGAGTAAGGGCCCTAATTAAATGGAATTAAGGAGACACCATGATCATTGGAATTGTAGGGAGGAAAGAGAATAGAAAATAAAAAAAATAAAGAGAAAATGAAAGAGAAATTAACAAAAAGAAAGAGAATTAGACACAAATATGACATGTAAACAATTCAAGTTTAACTTTGGGAGAGATTGATAGACAATCATCAATAGGGAATTGTGGTAATTTTTACTTACATTCGAGATGGAAAAATGTTTATCCTGTCTTTACCTGACATTGTGAATACTGTTCAATCGAAAATTTAATTAAAATCAATTAAATGGAATGTTAAATTAAGGAAACGATTAAGATTTAATTGACCTTTCTTTTCGTATTGGTAATTAAATGGAAAAAAATTCAACCCAAACCATTGGAATAGTCGAAAGAATCACCAGATGGAGCTACTTTCTATTCCATTTGTCGCCATCTGTTGGGATAAAGAAGCGAATCCATTTGTTGTTTTCTTTTCAATTTCAATTGTTTTTCCAATTTCATTTAATTTTTTAATCAATTTCTTGAGAATTTCTTTTATATTTAATTGTTTGGTTTCTTTAATTAAGTTGGGAATCTTTAGGATAGAATGTAAGTAGAAATTTGTGTTGATTTGCTGGTTAATTTGGGTTTTATTCTCTTGGAAAATTTTGATTCTCTTTTAGTGATTTTTAAGATCATGTGTTTATCTTTTTTTCATTTAGAATTAATTTTTCTCGTTCTTTCATTGATTGTTTTGTTTTTTTTTTAATTTGTTTTAATAGATTCATTCTAATCTCGACTTGTCTTGGATCATCTCTTTACATTCGACATTGTATCGTGTTTTGGTTGGTTTTCCGTGTGTTTGACTTGGAACAGTTATTACTTAGAGTGGTTGGAGTTTTCTTTGTTTCTTTTTCTTGGGTTTTGATTTAGTTTGTTTATATTTGGTTTGAAAATGAATCAAACATTTACGTTGAGATCGTTTAATCCATTGGTGCTTATAAGTCGTGGATGTTTTCAAAGAAGGACTCGAGGAAGGAAAATACCAGTACGAAAGCCAATCTACTATCCAATGGCTCCTTCCAAACTCTACGTGATTAAAGAGGCTCCTTATTTCGCTGAGGATGAAAAGGAGCAATATGATGTTCTCAAAGAAAATTATCTCACTGGTTTAAGAACTTTACGAACTTTTCTTTACAAGGAAGTGTATTTGCCGACAACGACTGCGGGTGGTTTCAGTGCTGAGGAAGTTTCTAAAGAAGCGGAAGAACAAGAAAGACTTTTAGCTGAAAATGATGCGGAAAATGAAAGACAAAGGATTCGTCGTGAGGAGAAAACGGCCTGGATTCGAGAGCAACTCGAAAATGATGCACTTATCGATGCAACTAATCGAATCGCTGCTGAAGAAGAGGATAGATTTTTGGCCTCTAAACAAATAGAAAAAGATATTGAACGAAGTAGCACCTTTATAACGAAAGATACGCTGGAGAAATTTGTTCTACAAGCTTTGGACTGTCCAACATCTTACGAATTCGCTGTCGATTTACAGGGTAAAATCATTTTCTCTGATAAACTTCACCCTTACGCTCTAAAGCCAAGTTCAGTTCCCGAAACAAGTGACTTAGAATTGGAAAAATTTGCAACCAAAGACAAGGACATCAAATTACAAGAGAAAACACTTTATAAATGATTTAATAGATCATGGAATCATTTTAGTTTGTTAATATAAAGTAAATATATGTTAGTATTTAAATTCAACAAAATCTTGCAAGATTATCAATTCGGTTTTTCTTATGATTAACCAATGATGATCAATTGAAATTCATCATCACTGCCCATAAACAAAAAGGTGATCATTCAATTGTAAACAACTAAATGATGATTTAACTGATAGAATCAGTTAAATTATTCGAGTATTTCATCATCCAGATCATCAAAAATCATTTGATCATCAACAATTGTATCGGTAAGGTCAACGATTGACCTGTCGGGATCACCTTTTATATTACCATTTGAAAAGCAAGGTGACACTTGGAAAGGTTTTACAAATGGTTTAGATTCTGGTGATTCCATTTTCTCGAGTGAATCAATGGATGGTTTTTGTGATGATTTACTAATTGTTGGCTTGAATCCAGGAGATGGCGGTGAGATTACTTGAATATTATCAGGTTTAAGTAGTAAAACTTTAAAACTAACATCAACTGGACCTTTGATTAAGATTTTACTTCCAATGGGAATATCAGTTTTAAGGGAATGAATTGGTTGATATTCAATCGCTTTAACAACATTTTTACCATCACTTAGATTTAAACATAACATTCTGGTTGTTTTCTTTTTCGCCTCAGGCTTATTTTGGGTTAATTTAATTCCAGGCTTTTTATTTCCCTTCAATGTCTCATCGACTTCACCTTCTTCCGGCTCCTCATCAACTCGGAGAAATTCATTCTCAGAATTAAATTGTGGAACACTAATATCTCTTATCGACACAAGCTGAAATTAGAAAAAGAAAAATGAAACAAAAAAACAATTAGAATTCATCACCAATGGAACAATTTAAATTGTTTAGAAAATGGAAACAGAAAAATTAACCGAAATCTCAATGGTAACAATAAGCTTACCTGAAGATAATAATTTCCATTTAATTTATCCAGATTATAATCGTTAATTAATGCCACTGGTAGAGAAGAATATGATCCACAAGAAGACATAATAACAATTTGAGAGAAATCAAGGTGACAATCAAATAAATTAACGAATTGTTGACAATAAAAGCAAATTGGACAAAACAAAATTTCAAAAGAAAAACAAAAAAAATCATCTGTTTGGAATTTAGAAAAACCGCGAAAAAAGAAAAGTACAAAAAGTTAACACTAGATGGCAGAAGCTGATCGAAAATGAAACAAAAGTTGTGAACAATTTAAACTTTCATCAAAAATGATTAACAATTAAATGAGAAAAAGGAAACCAAATTAAAGGACAAGATATAAAGAAAAATCTAGAGAAATCAATAAACTATAAAATAATCAATCGATAAAATCTAAATGATTCAACAGAGACAAAGATGAAAATAAAAAGATTTCAACTGAACAGATTTATCCAGTTCGATGATGTTAACAACAATTAGGGAAACAAATGATCAACCGAATGATTTAATCAATATATTAATATGAGAACTAGATTATAAATTGATTAATCGAGAAGAAGAATAATAATAATAATAACTAAACCGATAAGATTGAATGGAATATCGGTAATCTGGTTTACGAATCAAGATTAAATTGGATAATCAACATTTTCCATTTGCATGAAAAGTAAACTTGATATTCTTGTAAATTAATTAACAATCAAGCTTGACAATTGATTGATGATCCCATACAAGCCCACATTGTACAGGTTATCACAGGTAACCACCCATTTAACCAATAAGTTGAAATAAGGTAAAAATGAGCAGAAATAGATGAAGAAAGTTAGAAACCTAAACAACCAAATTAAAGCAAAAATCAATGTAATCACAATTAATAATTAGGGTAATCATGATAATCCAGTAAATAATAACAATAACAATTGTAGCTTCTCATTACCTGTCAACACAGTTTCAATTGAGTCACGGATGATAATGATTATAATCACGCAATCATTAATCTTTGTATTACAATCAATCAAATAATAAATCAAGAAATTAAATTCAATCAATTGAAATATTAATTGAACGAGAAAACCAAATTTCTTCATCTTTAAAAATTTAATCAATTTAAATGATCAAATTAATTGTGAGACTATTTGAACAATTTAATTCTTGATCCGATTATTAATAAGATGCAAGATATTATATAAAATCAGTGAAGATGATTAAGTTAATTACAATAATTTGTCTTCGCCCACATAAAGTTAATCAAAGTGACACACACACACACAAATACAATTAATTAAGTTCTCAGTTTAATTTAGTTTCAATTGGAATGATTTTCTTTTTAAAATAAGTTAATTATTACAATCAGAGTGAAAAGTTTCCAATCGTTGTTTCAATTAATCATACAGAAAGAAAATTTTTCCCATCATCATGACTGAATTTTCATCATCATGACAACCATTGAATTCATGATGATCATCATCATCTTTTCATGATTAAGATTAGATTTGAAATGATGTAAACATATCAGTTGACATGGCGACCCTGGAGTGAATTCAATAAGATTAAAGTTATTGAATTATTTTCGGGAGTTAAAAGTAGCATCATCATCCTGATCATCCTCTTATCTTCATCCTCATCCTGATTATCCTCATGTTATTATATTCAACAGGCTTATTATCACCCAAGTCAATCATCTTGATTGGTTCCAACCTCATCCCTTGAAACTTAATGAAACACAAGATGATTAACAAAAAACCGTATTCATTTTTCATCCTCATCATCATGAACATGAAAAATTCATGATCCAAGTTCAAATTTCAAAATGAATCCACACCAAAAGGAATCAGATTAGAGTAACAATTGAATTGAATTTGCTAAAAATCCATTTCATTGAATAATCAAAAACAAAACAAAATCAATCAACTAATTTACTTGTAATTGTTTCAAATTAGATTGAGCGAGGACAAAACAATCAAATTTAATTGCTCAATGGATTTAAATAACTTTCCCATCACCTATGAATTGATATCTCGCTTCAATCAACTAATCATAAAAATATTCAAATGATAATAACAATCAGCTAATCACTTTTGGTTCAATGTAATCAACCAATTGTCAAAGGTAATTACAACAATCCAATGGTAATAATGATAATAATAATATCACAACAATCGAATCGTGATAATCAAGTAATCATTATAATCATCATTAAATGTCACATGGAAATAGAGATAATATCTACATGGAACTTTTTTTTTCTTTGTTCATAGTTTACTGAATTTCTACCGATAGATTCAGTTGATAATGATATAACTCGTGATCTGAATGGTTGACAAAACTTGAGCTAATTATAGGATTTTGTAATCATAATTATCATCATGATACAAATGACAACATGATAATATAATAGATATGAACTATATGTTGTATAGTTCATGGTAATATCATGATAATAATGAATCCCAACAAATTTAATCAAGAGATGAAACAAAAAAGGTTACATATTAATGATAACATGATAACCTCAATCAATTATTTCATTTTGGTTAACCACTTACCTTGATTGTGATCATGATTCTAATAATAATTATGATAACAATCAATCTGAACAATTCGAAAAGGTGAAAATAACCATTGACTTTGAGATTGTTCAACTTTCATGATGAATTTTTCAGTTAATCTAAATTGTTGAAAGTTTATTTTTCCACCTGAGTGTTTCAATTATCTCCCCTGGTACACATAACTCTTACCTTGATTACAAAGCTTTTTTTGTTGGCCGAATCACAATTCATGGTAATGTTCATGGTGGAAAAGAATCACTGAGAATTTTTGTTTTTTTTTCTTTCTTTTTTTCTTCTTCTCTTACATATTATATCATTTCTGCAATTTGATATTGTCACAGGGATGATGATGAGTAGAAAGATGAATGGAGGTGAAGAGAGAGAGAGAGAGAGATGATGATGATGAGGGTTAGAGGTATGTAGAGGGTGATGATGGAGTGAGTGAGAGAGAGGGAGGTTGATGAAGAGGTGAGAGTAATAGTTTATTTGGGTCTCGGGATCATTATGATAAAAATGTATGGATTCTTGATGAATAACTACATTCCATGAGATAACTCATCCATCTCGAAGAGAAGGAGGAAAAAAAATGGCGTCGAAAATGAAGAAACTTTTTTTTCATCCTCATCCCAATTCTCATCTTCTAATCATCATTTCGACTCACTTTCTATCTTCATTCTCTCTCTCTCTCTCTCTCTCTCTCTCTCTTCATCATGTTATATATCATTTATGAATTCAATCCTATAAGTTCATGGAGAAAAACACAATTCAGAGACAGGGAAACAGAGACAGAGGAAGATGAAGATGAGGATGAGAAAATCTTGTCATCTCTTTTCCTCTCTCTCTCTCTCTCTCTCATCATTTTCCTCTACAAATGTTTTTATCATCATCACCTATGAACTTTATTTATTATGATGAATACCATTGATATGATTTATCATTCTTGCTTTTCATCATCATCATCTTTTATCATCATTCAGTTTTCACTTTCATTGTGATTCATATTTACCTTCATGTATTTCTTGTTGTTGATCATTTAACTTGAAGCAATTTAATAATTTGATTAAACGATTATCACCATTGAAAGTAATTCATATGAAAAGTAATGAGGATAAATAAGTAAAATTGGTTAACCATAATTATTTAATTATCATCATCATTATCATGCTCATAATTAACTCTAGATATCAACAGAGGTAAAGTTAATTGTTACATAAATTAGAAGATTAAGATTGAACATTAAGATTAGAAAAGTAAATCCCCTTTCAGATTAAATTGTATTTAGATGATAAAAGGAATGATTTTTTTTTTCTTCATCATTTCTAATGATTCACATTCAATCATGAAGATGAAGAAGATGAGGAAGATAAAGATGAGATAAAGATGAAATACTTTCTGCAACAATAAACCTGAATACCTGGTGAATCAATTGCCTCATCTCTTCATCTTCACCATCATTATCATCATCACTGTGTATTTATTTTCTCAGCATCATCATCATCATCTTCATCTTCATCTTCACCATGAAAGGTAACACTGGAAAAGGTGAAATTGTTTCATCATAATATTAATAGAGCCAATAAATTGTTCACAATTTAACAAATCATTTCATCTTCATCCCTCTAAATTGCTTCTTACACAATCAATTCATGATCATCCTCACAAACATTATCATCATTTGTAATCAATCAAATGGTAGAAGATGAAAAATAAGAAAAAGATTGAAAAAATGTAATAATCAATGTAGTAATCATCATCTTCATCACATTAACAATTAACATTGCGATTCTTAAGTAATTAACTTGATGATGATTATAATAAAATCATTAAAGACAACAGGTAGGATCAATTTGACGACAAATTATCATTTAGCATCTCATTAGTTTGTAAATCAATTCATCTTCTTGTGATTGTCTCATCATAATTATCATCATCTTCTCATCTTACTCTCTCTCTCTCTCTCTCTCTCAAAATGCCTATACATGCAATTCACTCTTCCTATAATATTTTCTTAATTCTCTCATCATCATCATCATCAGCATCTTCTAATCCCAATCAACTAGAGTGAGAGAGAGAGAGAGAGAGACCAATGATTAAGATGATGAGGGAAAAGTAAGATGATTATATTGAGTTATCCAGATTTAGAATCTGAAAAAACGAGTAACAAAATTGAAGAGGTAAAAGTTTCATCTCACAAGAAGATGAGGATAAATTATGATATGATCGCTGAAGGTTGTAGATGATAATTATTAGACAAAGAAGATACTTCTTCATCTTCAATCATTATCTTCCATGTAAAAAGAGGCCTAGAAAGAGAGTGAGAGAGAGAGAGAAAGAGGCGTAGTAGAAAAAGTTATAATCTCAAGAATAGGTTCTAATGTGACCTGTGTTAACATTGGAGCAACTTACAAGATCTTAAGGAGAACCTTAAAGAAAAAGGAAGAGAAGAAGAAGAAAAAAGAAAGAAAGAGAAAAGATGATGAGGATGAAGAATAGAAAAAGAAAAAGAATAAGTTTACCTCTCTTTCTCTTATATTATCACTAGAAAAGAATAGAAAAAAAAAGTTCTAACAGATTCTTGATGAGAACTCGGTGAGATTTCATTGAAAAC